CCCAATGGAGGCACATGGACTGCGCAGTGAACTTCCTTAGTTGATGCTAGTATCCGGGGCGATACAAAGCAAGCAACCCATTGAAATCCACAAAAAAACCAACGTGATGGATAACCCGAACGCTAGGGTTGCGTTGGCAAAATAACGAGCAGTAATGCTAAAAACAACACTAAAAACTACTGCGTATATGAGCCCACTCAGCTCCTCAGCGCGCGGGATACATTAAAAACCCGGGGAAATAACGGTGGCAGCAATCCACTAGGATGATGCAGCAGAAAAAAAAAACAAACAAACGAGCAAACAAGAACAGGAAATTAGACTGACTAATGTAAGCCAATTGGGCATCTGGCACAAGATTGACAATCTTTCTAGACTCGTCTCTGTTAGAGTATGATAGTAATAAAACATATTAATAAAGTTTTCTTATTTTTTTACTTAACAGAATGAAAAAATATATAAAAAAAAAGCACACACATTGGGGAAAAAACAATAAGCTGAAAAAGAAGCAACAACAAAATAAGAAAAAAATGACAACAGCAATGAAGCAAATTCATAGGAGAAATGCAAAGAGTAGATATATTTATACTGCATAGCGTATGCCGTAACATAAGAACGGAAATAAATATCTGTAAAGAAAGTCCCACACTTACAGCTGAAAATAAGCACACGGTATTTGAATGGTATAATGGATTAAGTCGCGTCATATTTGAGTGAACCACCTTCCAGGTACATATATGTGCATAACCGTAGATTAAGAAAGAGAGAAACATGAATAGCACGTTAACAAAAACAATGCATAGGAATACGGGCAACCGCTCTCTTTTCTTGCCTCTCATTCTCTCAACTGTGGTTCAAGGATTTCAAAGACAAAAATAAACCCACAAGAATACAGAAGAATGTACGATACAAGAAGATATCATGGTGGCACGGATCACCAAAAATACAAATACAAAGTGGTGCAAATAAATAAAGAGCTGTTAGACTAGAAGGATTACGCGTGGATAGCGGCGGAAATATTAAAAAATAAAAAAATAGGAGGCCTTATTTACATATGTGTTATAGATTGTTTACAAGTAATGACCAGTGCAACAGACATTGAACGGTCATAAAAAAAACATTATACTTACAGTAGCATAAATCTGTGCAAATAATCACAATAAAAGTAATAACAATTATCATAGTAATGGTCATAATAATAATAACAACAGAAATAAAAAATATATAATAATG